ACGAGTTGGCGCTGACTTGACAGAGCCTAACATTAAGAACTAGTGGTAAGCCAGTAATTGTAAATTTCTTTAAATTTTACATTATCAGTTGATTTCTTTTACAAATACATCTAGTAGAACTATACAGCTAAAGTGTTCTGGCTGAAGTGATAGCAGTGTTCTTTCTTATTGTAACGTCTTCTGGGTCACTGTTATAGACTTCTTGTTGTTGTTAGGTGCTGTTGAGTCGAGTATGACTTATAGCAACTAACTGATCTGAACCTTGTCCTGTCCTGTGCCAGCCTCATTATCCCTGACACACTCAAGCCCACTGCTGCATTCGCTGTGTCAATCCACCTCTAGGGCTCGAAGTCACACTAAGTAACAGTAATGTGTATAAAGGGAGCTCTGGCGGCCTAGTGGCAAGAAGCCACACTGCAAACCTGAAGCATGCAGTATGAATCCACCAGCGGCTCTGGGGGAGAAGGATGAGCACTCTCCTTCCGTGTGATTAACTGCCTCTGAAAACCCACTGGAGGATCAGCTATGGGTTGGTTCTGACTTTACGGTACACAACAACAACAAGAAGTGCATATAACACTCAAAAAAGACACATCATGAATATTTTTAAGTTCTACCTTTAGATGGGCTCAAGAATATGAGAGGTGATGAGAATGGCACAAGACAGGGCAGGGTTCAGATCTACTCTTCATGGGGTCCGATGAGTTATAGTTGAATTAAAAGCATGTAACAATAACACTACCTCCACCAATACCTTAAAAGCTCCTAGAGCATACTGCACACTGCTTAAAACAATCAAGATGTATACTTCCAAGTCGAGTGAGTAATTGGAGCTTGTTCTATCCATTTTTAAGACTTAGATTTTCATAAACTGAGTCTTCTTAAGGCAGGTACCTAAGGAAGGCAGTTAGATAGAGGCAGTACCATCTCGGCCAGCCTTAGGAAAACCACTGCAATTTCTCCTTGTGTGCACTCTTCAACCAACAGATGTCACTAAAGATACTAGTACCCAGAGGCAAAGGAAGAAAAGATTAGACAAATGGAAATTGAGCATAAAAGCATCCAGTTCTTAAAACTGAGAAGTAGGTTTCCAAAGTAATAACATTTATTACACTGCATGCAACATTTTAACAAAAATTTAAGGAAGAGATTTCTTTTATTAAGTTGCTGAGGCTGAATGGATCATAGCACTAAGTTTTGAAATACATGTTCTTGAAGCAATTTAAAACTCATTAGAAATAATAGGCTTGGGCTAGTAGAAAATGTGATAAAATTTAATCCTCATCCAAATGTTACCTGGGCTGTACAAACAGGAAATTGTTTTGTGCTACTGTGGCTAACCTCACTGCTGACCCTGAGCTGTAACAGCGAGAACAGCTGAGAGCTGAAGCAAAATTAAAAACTTACATCAAAGTATATCATGACAGAATGTAGATAAATAAAACAGCATATCAAAAGTATTATTTTTCTGCCAGTCTCACAGAGCAGCAAGGTGGAGGTATTCAAAATGTGTATCAAATCAGGTATATCTGGATATGAGTCCTTCCCTCCCTGCACTGCCCAAATCCAGGGCCACCCAGATACTGCTCAGGGGAGGGGAGCAGAGCAGAAACCCAAAGAACAGAAACCATGGGGACAAAGTAGATCACAGAATGTTCTGGCCTCTTTCCTCCACGGGCTTCCCTTCCCTCACCTCGGCTTACTAAAGAAATAACGCCGGCTCTTCTGTGTCTTCCCAGTCATTCTTTCCCTGATCTTCCAGACTTCTCAGTGGCAACTATATAATTTCCCTCCATTAAGCATATTAGAATCTCAAGAGGAAAAACATTACAGAAGGCACACAACACAGAATCAGCATGGCTGATGAGGGCCAGCACGAGGTTGAGAAGAGGATGAAAGACATTTCCCTATTACTCTATGTAAAGTGCATGAAAGTCAATTGAAAGACAGTTGAAGGGCATTTTTTTCCATTGAACAACGGTCTCCATTAAGTTTTGGGATAGAAATTCTCATACTTTAAGGAACAGTGCCTCATCATAAATATCCAATCATCCTGTGGCAACGCACATGAAGACGAAAGGAATACAGAAAGATTACTGTCTGAACTCTCGTTCAACTTTCTGCTAAGTAAATAATTCTAGAAAATCTGTTAAGATCTTGGCACTTCTGTTTTTTCATAATGGTAACCAAAGTTCTAAGAGCTGTACCTAACTGAATCTTCTCAATAATCTTATGACATAAGTATTACGAAGTAACAGAGATGCTTGTTGTTGTTGTTAAGTGCCGTCAAGTTGTAGACGACTCATAGCCATCCTAGGAACGAAAGACCTGAACACTTGTATAACTTTCATCATTTCTCCAAGTTCATAGGGTTTCCGGAAGCAAGCTATTTTAGAAGTGGATGCCACTCCTGCTTTCAAGCTTGTTTTAACTGGGAAGCTCCACCAAACACTGTCCACCATGGGTAACCAATATTGCATTTGACACATCAGTGTCACAGTGTTGTTTAGCATCACAGCCACCACGAGCTACCTCTGTACAGCAAATGGACAGATCAGTGCTATACCACTTAGACGAATGTTTGATCAAAAACAAAAACAGGTCTGAGAGCTGCAGATTAAAAACACCCACCTTTGGCTCGGTAGCATCACTTTCTGTCCACTAGGCCAACTAAGCTCTCAACAGAGAAGCTTAGCAACTTAATTAAGATTTTAGGACTAGAGAGTTGCACATAATAATACTAGCCTTGCAGGGATCTTGTTAGGATTCAACAGGCTAAAGTATTTTAAATGGTCTAGTATAGGAGTAGAATACAAGCTAACTGATTAAAAAAAATAATAGAAGCTTCCATTATTATTTGTCTAACTTATATGAGCAGAACCTTAAATTCCTCACTAGTTTCTCTTCCCCTAAATACTTTAAAGAACATCTTTCTCAGCATCTGCTGCAATGTCCTTGTGTATGCTAGACAAGCTAATAGGGGACACAGATATGGCATAGTTCAGGCAAGATTCCTTTTGGTGTTATTGGTTGGATATATATTCTTTCTTAGAGATGTAGTGATAATGCAAGAGATCACTATTCTTATTAGTTTCATTGCAATAATAAGTTCCCAAAGAACGACACATTTAGTGAAAAAATACGATTCAGAAAAAGGAGCAAAAAAGATACTACTGTAATTGGTAACAGTAATCTAAAAGTATTTTCATAGCTAAAGCTTTGTTGTAAATAAGAGCTTTTAGTATAAGTCCTATTTCACGATGGGAATTATTAATTTCTTTTAAAAAGTAGGGATAAAGAAACTCCACAATTAGTACAGGCAAATGGAAGCAGGACAGTATGGTTCAAGCATGTGGCAACACTGATTGAAGAAAAAACAAACAAACAATGGTCAGTTTAGCCCCATCTGAGAAAGGCCAGCTTGGGGAAAGCAAGAAACAGGCTTTGGATGAAAGAAAGGTATATTCTGTGAGTTTCCATTTTGTGAGTATCTGTGCCTGGAAGATTCTGTGCCACGCTGTTTAAAGAGTAGCTCAATTAATCCACATGGTTCTAAGCAGGCAAGCAGGTCAGTACTCAGTAATCTTATGCTTAAGAAAATTAAGTACAAGAGGTGGTAGATCTTAGCTGAAGCCACCAAACCGGTAAGAGTTAGTGTCAGGACTCAAGTTCAAAGCTACTGATCTCTGTGCTTTATCTGAGGTACCATGTTTCTGGTAAAAGGTCTAGACACAAGTAGCATGATAAAATAATGAAAAGAATTAGATATATATAGTCAGCATATACTGAAAGCTAGCAAACTGTTTTGATTTTTTTAAAAAGGGTCACTTTGTACCTTTAGTTGGAAGAATATTTCCACTTCGTATAACCCTAATTCACCTATTTTCACATAGATGCAGATATTGTGGTGAGCTTTTGCTGGTATAGATGAAAATAAGGGAGTGCAAGTTTATTGTCTCATATATAGATACTTTCTGTAGTTTTAATAACTGTAAACTCGACAAATTGAATGCGTAATGCAAACAAAGCGATTTAGAACAGAGGACTAGAATGTATACATATCTGAACCTCAGGTGCATTCTGAATTGAAATAAAAAGAATTTTCTTCTTTTAAAAACGTAATAGACTTTCATGGTTGCTTAAACACACACATACATAGATGAATATATTTAAAATAAAGAGAGTACATAAAATCTTGTGAAATCTGTCCTAGATACTCAAAAATAAATATGAGAATCATAAGCAATTTTTGAGATCAAACATACTTAGAATTGGCTGCTGATTTGAGAAAGTGAGAATAGACATGGGGGAAAAACAGAACAAAGAAAATGAACAAAAAAAGGAGAAATCTTTCTTAGAGTGAAGGACACGGCATAGCACTAACTCACATCCTGCAGTAAATCAGTGTGCTGAATTTGGTAACAGGAGGATTTCACAGATTCAACGGTCAGACTTAGAAAGAACTAGGGATTATTGTCCTAAGGCCCAAACTACTATCAAAGTTTTAAAAAATTTTTAGATTATAATTGAATAGGACAATATTTATTTTAAAACTTTATTTCCAGGGGCTCATTGCCCCAACTGTCTCTACAATAAAATATTTACTTCTCCTTATAAATATATATTTCCCAAGATTCAGTGCCATGGACATACTAGTTTAAGCGGTTCTTGACCCTAGATCACAAATATTATTACCTTTGAACAACTTTAATATGCTTTAGCTTTTCAATAATCTGTCTAGTGTATTCCTTTACCTCACACACTGCAATTTTATCCAAAGGAAATTCATCAAGTTGGTCAGGTATGATATGTAGTAAAAGGCATGAGGCTTACTTCTCCTGATGCCAATATGATAGTCTCCAGCTTTATGCACATCTATTACCCATTTCACAAATTCATACAGATATGTAAGTTCAAAAGAAAAAAATAATCAACATCTTTCTTTCCTCCAAAGAGATAAAAGATATATTGTAGAGACAAATATGGCAAAGGATACTCACTGTAAGTGCAAATCATTTTACTAGCTTCTCTGAAGAGAAGAATTCCATTAGGAGATGATACATCAAAATTCAAGCGCTGAGATCTGTAAAAAATTAGAGCACAAGTGTAGAAAAAGAAATCAAATACAGGTTTAAAATGTCTAGCATTTTTATTTCATAGAAATACCAACATACACTCATCACCTTTTTAAAGTGCCATTCCAGTCAACAAGTGTTAATCAAGTATGTATATCTTTTTTCTCACTGCAATGTTATTTGGCCAATTAAAGAATTTATTTTATTTTCTGATTGAGAATGTTCATTCATTAACTGATATAACTCCTGTCAAAATAATATTTGGCATCCTACACCACAGACTTTATCCAATCTCCTTTCAAATTTAGCCTTCTAAATTTATCTTCTTTGGATCTTTCCCATTTTATTATGGCATTTAAGACAGCTGCATACATGGTTTTATTTTTTTATTACCCATGATTTCAAAGTATGAAAACCACTACCATCACCACCACTTAATTAATTATTTAGTGTTGTCCAGGCACTTCATAAACACTATTACAATTATTTTTCACTTACAACAACTTTATAAAATATCATTTTCTTCATTTCATGGGAATGAAGATTTAGAGAAATGATAATTTGTCCAAGGTCACCTAGTGGATAAACAGAGGAATGAAAATGCACACACAGGCCTGTAGATCCAAAACCTGACTTTTTTTGTCTTATGACAATATAAAAATTATAGTCTTATATCATTCTTATTGAGAAACACTGAAATATTAAATTGGAAGGCAAGAGAATAGCTTTTAAAATGCATAAAAACACAACACTACTTGTCCTTACATGAAACGATTTTCCTTGTAAAAGTTTATTCTAATGAACATATCTGAGAATTGATATTTTTAGCTCATTAATATTTAGAGCAGTTACTTTTAATTTTTTAGGCTATCGAAGTCTTTCAGAAACTGACAGTAGCTAAAGATACCCTCTTCACTCTAGTCAGAGGCTTAACAGACCTTTAGTCCCTCTTCTGGAATAATTTGTATATCTTTAGTTGAAATGTATGCAGTCATTGATACATTAATTTCAACAATAAAAAGCATGTAAGTGTAAGTTTATAAAGATACCTATGAGAACTCACATATTTTTCCATATTTATATTTGAAATCTCCTACAGTGTCCTTCATTTATTATGAAAAACAAATTGTATAGTGATAGAGAGGAAATCTAGATTTCTTTTTACTGTGCATATACTTAATGAATCATCAGGTATCTTGAACATTTATTCAAACGCATTAAGTTACATTAGAGACTACAGATTCTTCTGCACATAACTAAGCAAAAAGAAATAAACCCCCAAAGCTCCCACAGAAGAGCAATTCTACTTCAGTTCTTCACAGGGGAGAACAGACTGAACAAGGTAAGACTTGTCCAGCCACCCTGACATATTTGTCTTTTTTTTTTTAATCACGTTGGTTTTAGTCAGTGCTGATATCCCTTGTCACTTGTATTTCTAAGAGATAATTGTATTATTTTTTTAAAAAAGGTTAGTAACATATATCATAGGAGGTCAGAGTAAGGATGAACTACTGCTTGTCTATACTTTCCCCCCAAATGCTTTAGAATTAAGTACAACCGTAATTTCTTAAAAATATTATGAACATATGATTTATGACATACAATTCCTAACTAAAGAAACACATGTGCAAAATTCACATTAAATTCTAGAGAAGTAAAGAAATTATATTTTCTGAGTTAACAGATTTTCACTAAGTAGTTTTTAAAGATAATTATACAAAATATTATTTTTTTAAAAGAGATGAATTATTTTTTTACGCTAGACATAAAATATGTAAAAATAGACAGAGTAGAGATTTTTCACTTTTAACATTAAATTATTATTCTCTCAGTTAATCCAAATAACAATTACCTGGTTGAAAAAATTAGAATTTAATCACAAACTAAACTGTGATGTAAAAGACATAGAAAGCTAAGCTTGCTTTATTATTGAAAGCTTTTGTGAAAATATTTTCAAGAATAACATCTTTTAAAAGAATGATAGTCACATTTGTCAGGTCGTTTCCCTCCTGATTTAAAGAACACATTTTAAATGAGCTCTGTGAAAAATTTAGTACTAGAGATAAAAGCAGAGGTACAACTCATATTCTTTTCTTTTATGGAAAATTCCCTTCCAACACCCAGTTTACAAAGAGGAATTGATGAAAAAGGAGGGCTAAGGGACAGGTAACTTGGTACTAAACCATATTCACAATGACATCTTTTAAAGGGGTAAAGCCAATTAGCTTAATGCATTTGTTTTGTCTTTTAGCTACATTTTTGTTACTATGTATATGCAGAATAATTTAATCTTGCTAGTCTATGCAAATTACAAATTCAAAAAGGCAATTTCTGAGAAGTGTTGTAGTTACTAAATAAAGGGTAACTGAGTGTATAAATCATCCAAATACATAAATCTTGGCACAGAAGAAAATGCATAAATTGAGAACTGAAGCAGGGACAATCTTGAGGGTGTTTGGGACAAGGTATGTGACCATGAATTGCTTGAGTTCAAATTTCCTTATCCATAAAATGTGGCTTCTCAGCTCAGAGACCTCTAAACTTCTTGCCTAGCTTGAAATTCTACAGAATTGAAGTAAGCAAAGAAATATTTACATCTGCCCCTATCTTTCTTGAAGGTGGTCTAGCAGCATAGTAGTTAGAAGCACTCAGTTACTAACCTAAAGATTGGTGGCTTAAACCCACCAGCTGCTCCTTGAGAAAAAGATAAGGCTCTTGAAAAGGCTGACAGCCTTGGAAACCTTATGGAGCATTTTACTTTGTCGGTCCTATGAGGTCAGTGTGAGCTCGAATTGACTTGAAGGCATTGGACTTGGCTTTTGATTTCCCAGTTCTTGTGTCTTTGACTATGTTAAGTAAATGTAGTTGCATTCATCCATTTTTTCCCCCTTCAGATTTCACAATTCTGTGTATTCCAAAGTATACTATACATCCATCCAATCTCATAGTTCTGTATGTTCCCAAGGATACTACTTTTTCATTCCCGAAGATCTAAACCTTATCTCTAATTCTACAGCTTTTAAGGATCACCTCAAGGTCTTGAATATACACACTACCCCAAAGAGTGAGTCCTTTCAAGATTTCTGACAATTGCAGATTTTTCCCCTCACTCCCCAATCACCTGGCTTACCTGTTTTGCATCAATTCTGCCATAAGTTTTAAGATGGGAGTTGTACATGCTGGCTCTCCATACCACTGCTCAACAGCCTTCTGTAGAAGGGGAAGATAGGTTGGGTACCTTTTATAAAGTCTGTTAAGGAATTTAAGAGTCTAAAGAAACATTATTCTTAAAATTAGTGTCTCTTCAAAAGGAAATCCACACTTGTTCTAGATTTACTATACAAGGGTAATTTAGAAAATGGCTTTCCCTAGTGTACTACTGTACTTTATATGAGAGGCTGCAAACACAATAGGGATAATATGAATGCAAAAATCCAGAAGACATGAGGAGCACAGAACTCAGAGGAGTATAGGTAAGAAAATAATCAAGAGATCTTGAAAGAGCAAACCCAATGGCCATTAATGGGAAAGCACCTGGAAGGATCATCGGGACACGGGAAAGATCCACAGTCCTTCACTTGGCCTTCAAGAAGGTATCATGGCTATCATATTTTTTGGAGACAGGGCAATCACTGTGGGCTAAAGCTGGGGGGTTTGAGGGGAGCATCCCGTTACTGTGTGGAATGAGAATGGTGCCAATTCTAATATGCCTCTGACAGAGGTGACTGCCACAGAGAAAATGATTACTGGAGAGCAGAGTAGAGGTCTACAGAGCAGGAAGGTTAAAAGGGCTGCAGAGTGTCAGATTCTCATTATGGGATGAGCATCAGAACCCACTTTAAGACTGAATTTTCTAGTGGCCTTGTGAAGATTATGTATACATGTGAATAGGAAGAAGTAGTGGTGTTTAGGAGAGATATAGAGATTTCACTAGATCCTTACAATGAATTTCCAAGGTTAACATCACACACATTAAAAAAAAAAAATCAAAGGCATTAATGCTACCTTAACCCATTGCCATTGAGTTCTGACAGGATGCCAATATATGAATAAATGAAAAACATCAGATTTTTCTTCTTATAAGAGACATCCCACCCTGCCAACTAACTCATCAACCCATTCAATCACTCAGTAGTTACAACTATTTACCATTTATTGGTCCTTAAGAAAAAAAAATTGAATAAAAGAATTCTTTCCCTTGGGGAGTTCACAATAATCATAATAAACTAGAAGACTACAGAAGTGTCTTTGTTAAAACTCTTGGGATTGTAACAGTGTGATGATGTGTTTACAGCACAGAAAAAGCCAGTCAGTGTAGAACTTACTTTGAAGGTACTCCATGAACATGAGTACACCATGTTCTTAAAGGCAACTGTTGTTGGAAAGTCTTTGTCTGGCAAAGGTCTATCCATTTTTCAATACCTAGCCTAACTTTTGCTTCCTTTCAGCAGCTTTCCTATTTTGTGAAAAATAAACCAACCAACCCACAAAATATATCAAACTTGTCCTCATGTATATCCATACGTTCCTTTGCATGCATCTCTGTTAAGCTGCTGTTAGGGGCTGTTGAGTCAGTTCTACTTACTGCAACCCTGTGTACAACAAAGTGAAGCACAGCCCAGTATCATGTCACCTGCACAGCAGCTTCTATGGTCGGAGCCCATTACCGCAGCCACTATGTCATGTATCTTGCTGGGTCTTTTCTTTCTCACTAAACCACCACTTGATTAGCTTGATGTCCTTCTCCAGGTATTGGTCTCTCTTGATAGCATGTCCAAAGCACATGAGACCAAGTATTGTCATCTTTGCTTCCAAGGAGCATTCTGGCTGTACTTATTTCAAGGTAGATATATGCATTTTTCTAGTCATCCAAAGTATATTCAATATTCTTTGCCAATGCCATAGTTCAAAGGCATCAATTGTACTCCAGTCTTTCTTATTCATTATTTAGTTTTGTGCATACAGATGAGGTAACTGAATATATCAACAATTGAATGGACAGAGATACTATGATACATTCATACAATATACAGCACTGAAAACAGTTAACTCATAAAACATTACAAAAAAGTGCATTCGTCTGGGAGATTTTATGCTGAGTCTCAGTCACAGAGAGACAAAAATACTGCATAAGTCCACTACAGTAACAACAGGATTGAGATGGGGGGGGGGCGGGAGGTGGAGAGTGAGAAAAGGAGAGAGAGATAATGAACATGGCACTGGAATGTGTGAAAGGAAGGACAATCTGAATGGAATGAATGATTAGAAATTACGTGTATAACAAATAAGAACCTGGAACAGAACAGGGTAACAAAGGGAACTGAGGGGGGAGAAATGTATACATGAATGAATAAAAACCAATCTCTATGTAAACTCACTAAAAAAAAAGACAAAATTAAAGATGAAAGGACACTTTGTAGCAGATGAAGGAGTTTGGGTTGCATAGTGTGTATTGTGCTGTGATCCTAACCAAAAATGGTAAGGGTTTGAATCCACCATCTGCTCTGTAGGGGAAAGACAGGCAATCTCCTGTTGAGATTAACATCTCAAAAACATCATGGAGAGTTTCTATGCATTTGAACTGACTCGATGGCAGTAGGTTTACTAAATCCTTTTAGCCAACACCACAACTTGAAGGCATACATTCTTCAGTCTTCTTTATTAACTGTCCAACTTTCACACACATCTGAAGCAACTGAAAAGTTTTCTCCATTTGTCACATGAGGTTCTTGATGATTTAGTAGTAAAGACTTCACCTTTCTTTACGTTAAATGTGTAATCCATGTTACAGATATGTTGTGTGTCAGCCAGAACCTACCTATAGCTGACCTTCCAGCAAGTTTTCAGACACGAAACTGCACAAGACACTGCCCATCCTTCTCCTGCGAAGCAGCTGGTAGATCCGAGCTGTGTGCTTTTGGGATTGCAGTGCAGGCCACCAGAGTCAGATATATGTTGGTCTTAGGACTGACATCCTTATTATTTAGCACTTTAAAAGAGGTCTTTGACAGTGGATGTGCCCAGTGCTACAGGTCATTCGATTTACTGATTGCCGATTCCATGGGCACTGACTGTGAACCTAAGTAAAATGAAATTCTTGACAACTTCAATGTTTTCTCCCTTTGTCACATGAGGCTGCTTAATGGCTTAGTTGTGAAGACACCTTTCTTTAAGTTGATGTGTAATCCATATTAAATAGAAAGTTGAGTTCTTATTACTGTCAACAAGGCTGTGTCATCTGCATAGAGAAGACTGTTAACAGAGTTCCTTCTAAACCTGATGCCTTATAATTTTCCATCTTGCCCATCTTCTTGGATTATTTCTTCAGCATAAAGATTGAATAGATATAGTGAAGTAAAACAATCCTAAGACGCATTTTTCCTGATTGTAAACAGCAGTAACCTCCTGTTCAATTTACTGTCCCTTGGGTCTATGTATAGGTTCCACCTGGGCACAATTCAGTGTACCAGAATTCCTATTGCTTACAATGTTATCTACAATTTGTTATGATGTACACAGTTGGATGGCTTTGCAATAAAATGCAGGTAAAGATCTTTCTGATACTCTCTCCTTTCCACAAAGAGCCATATAACACCAGCAATGAAAACCTTCATTCCAAACCCTTTTCTGAATCCAACTTGAATTTTTGGCAGTTCCATGTTAATGTATGCAATCAATTTTGAATTATATTCAGAAAAATTTTACTTGTGTCAATAAAAATGACACAGTTTGACAACTTTATATTTTATTTGGATCATCTTTCTGTGGAATGGGCATAAACATAGGTCTCTTTCACTTGGGTGACTAAGTGTCTGTTTTAATAAATTTTTTGGAATAAATGCTTCCAGTGTTATATTAACTTGTTGAAATATCACAATTGGTATTCCATCAATTCCTAGAACACTATTTGTTTTTTTATTTTACCAATATCTTCATGTAGCTCAGACTTTTTCTTTCAGCACTACGCCATGTTCATTATCAGATGCTATCATTTGAAATGGCTGTCAACTAATTCTTTCCTTTTTGATGCTTCCTGCACTGTATTTTGTTCAACAGAATCCTTCAATATTGAACTGAAACCTTGTATTTTTTCTTTAGTTCTTTCAGTTTAAGAAATACTAAGTATGTTCCTCCTTTTTGGTTTTCTAAACACAAATCTTTGAGTAGTTCACTGAAATACACACTTTGTCTTCTCAAGCCACTCTTTGAAATATTTTTGTTCAGCTCTTTCACGTCATCATTTTTCCACACATTTTAGCTTCTCTATGTTCTAATATCTATTTTGGTCTTTCTTTTTTTCCTTTTATTTTTAAAATGTCTGTTTGCTTTCTTTATGTATGATGCCCTTCTATAGTGGTTTTTTTCCCCTCTCATTAGTGTTCAATGCATCAAATCTATTGTCTTGATGGTCTCTGAATTCAGGTGGGCACATTTTCATTCTCATGAACTTTTTATTTTCTTCAGCTTCAACTAAATTTGCACATGATAACTGACGGTCTACTGTAAAGCTGGCCCCTAATCTTGTTCTGACTGATGGTATTGAGCTTCTGGATCATCTCTTTACAGAGACACAGTACATTTGATTCCTGAGTATTCTATCTGGTGAGGCTCAGTAGTGTATTTTTGTGTTGTTGTAAACATTATGCACAATGAATAAGTTGTTAGTCATGCCAAGTTCCACCATGCAATCTTTGGTGTTGTACTCATTATCAATGTCATTTTTTTCCTACCTAACAATTTTCTAGCTAGGATTACACCTGATTGCATTTTTGATCAATTTCAGACAGAAATAAACTGGTAAAACTTTTCAATTTTCACTTTTGGCATCAGTGGATGGTGAATACCAGGAAGCTTTGGTGGCCTCGTGGTAAGAAGCTGGGCTGCCAACTCAAAGCACGTGGTCTGAATCCAATAGCTGCTCCACAGGAGAAAGAGGACCTCTCCCTTCTATGTGCTACACACCCCTGAAAATCAGCCAAAGGACCAGCTATGAGTTGGCTCCAACTCCACGGCACATACCCTTACCAGCTCCATTAACTGGTCCTCCATGTAGGCTTGTGGATATTATCATATCACTGTTCATAATTTACTTCAAGCTAGATTAAAAAATGTTTTCTCCCCCGCCCCCCCAATGAAGGTGATATTGTCATTCTTGAAATAGTAGGTCATATGCTTGTCTGGTCCAAACCGGTTAAAGCCATCCCTTTCAGCTCACTAATTCCTAGGATACAAATAGTTTTGTCCCACTTAATGTTTGATAACTTCTCATTTTCCTAGTTAGTCTGTACAGTCCATATTATGATTATTAATTATTAACATGGAATACTTTTGGTAACATATTGGTTAGCTGTGTATTATTTATTTGTATATCCATGAGACTGTGAGCTTCTGAAGAGCAATGCAGTTTATTCATTCTTGTATTATTAGTGACTAGCACTAAGAAGACACCAAGACATGCTTGAACAGTGATTTTTCAAGTTTACATTCTTTGCCACATGAGTTTGTATAATATAAAACTGAAAAATACTTTTCTTCTTCAAATGAAATTCTGGTTTATTAACCACTAAAAACCACCTACTGTTTTACGGAGCCTAACTTTCCTTATCTCAAGTTTAGGGGATTCCGAAATGATCTTAATTTTCAACCATTAAATAATCTGTGGTAACATATCTTGTTTTTCACTCTTTCTTAACCTGGTATTAATGGAAAATCTGCCATTCTCATTTCCACATGGTGCATTCCTGTCTACATGGTAAGATGCAGGGCAGTATGCTCACCTTTACACAGTTTTCCTCAGCTTAATGAAATTACCCTTTGCCACATCAGTCACCTACATAGGTATGTGACTTACTCTATTAAATGATACATTTATTTTAAGCTAAGGCTTTTGTCCTAGTAATTTACATCCTTTCTAAAACACAAAATAGCCCTTAGACCAATTTGCTGAGTGAATGAGCTCATGGGATTCTTTTGTTTCATTTCTAACAACAATAGTATTTATACTATTTATCATAGTATTATACCAGACATCATGCTTCTATACATGTTGGTTCACAGACTTCTTATAAAACATCTGTGAGATAGGTATTGTATTATTGACTCTGTTTTATGGAAGAAGACTCTGAAACACTGACTTGTCCAGCATCCCACAGGTTATTAAATGGTAAAACCAGAATTGGAATCCCAGTAGACCCTATTCTAAAAATTTCTGATTTCTGACATAGTTAATTGTCTGGGTGTATGTAAATGTTTATGCACATAATTTGATCATTAACAATCTGCTAACTGTCTGACGGAAAGACATGGGGCTCGAGAGATAATGAGAATCTTCTAATATTTTTCTGGATTTTTGATACTACAGTCTAAGCATGACCAGAGAAAAGTCCAAGCAACACAAATACAGCATAAAAGGGAAGTGCTTCCTACTGGAGTCTTCTCAACAAAGGTGAAGGAGTACCTCAGTGATCCCTCTGCAATTCTCTGGCAGTGGAAACAATTTCTCAAGATGGTTGCTGTTGAATTTCAGGCAATTTAGGTTTGGAAGGACAGAGTGATATGTAATGTAGCAGTTTGTAAAGCAGTTAATGCAGTCAGTGTTTATAGAAATGTTTGTGAATTAAATAGCTAACCACTAAAACAGCATTTTATCAAATAATCGTCATAAATAAAATGCATTTTGACTTTAAGATGACATGTATCCTTATAGGATGTTTCCTCTGCATGCTAAGGACTGTATAACAAATTAAAGAACATACATTTATGTGGATAAAAGGCAAATAAACTTTCCCCAGCAGTAATGTGGGAATCATCACTGACGGTTTGACATATCAATATTTCAGGAAGAACAAATGACTTTCATATCCATGCTTTTTTTTTAATCATATACTTATTCATTCTTACATTACTTGAATAGTTTGGAAAGATTTTTGTACTTTATCACCTGAAACTGCTTAAAGTATTTCAAAATATTTTAATAAAGCTTTTTGAATTATCAAATAATGTAACTTTTAAGCAAATTTTACTATTATTATAAATATTTGCTCTTCATCCCTTGCCCAAAGGAAAACTATAAATCTTGTCTCAACTGAATGAACACCATTTATCATATTCATTTTGTTGTCAATACAATTATGAAAAGCCTTTGGCCTTTTCCCAAGGAAACTGATTTGCTACTAAAACTCAATTACAAGTAAGGCAGGTACCAAACCACCCTGTGTGGCAATCTAACATAGCAGCCTGTGTGACACCTCACCCTCTGCTCTGACCCTAATAACATCAACATCTATGGTCAAATGGAGAAGACAACGGCTTCTGGTTTAAAATAGAACATTAAGTTCCAAGGTTTTCCATTTGCAGTTTTCTGCCATCTGCTGGACAAAAGTTTAATTTCTGATGGATACTCCCAAAACCCATTCCAAAAGAAATAAAAATTCAACCAACCAACTCCCTCCCACCCCCAAATGAGATACTGTTCAAGATTTAGTATCAATTATGGCAGCAATTTCCACTCTTTGACACTGAGGGGAAAGGTTCTGACCTTGACTGTTGGTTAAAACTGCTGGTGAACAAAAGCACAACTGTTAATTGCTTACTATCATGTGGTTGTAGTTTGGCTTCAAGATCATGAATTTTAAAGTGTCAACACTAGATTATTATGATGTTTCAAAAAAAATAAAATGAGTTTTCACTTTTAGAGCTAGCTAGTCACTAAGTTTGTTTACTGTGCATTTAGAGAAATAACAGGACGGACTATATGCAATCTCAGTTATCTGTTAGATAGAGTTAAAAGAATAGTGTGAATTTATGTGCATTATATGCTAATTTAAAGATATACATGATTGCTCAGTGAATTGTTACGCCTTTTATGGAGTAAGTAGGCTTTACCAGTAACAGAAATGTCAACTACTCAAACTATTCTCTTAAGAATTTTAGGGTACAGAATTTTTCTTAAAACATACCCAAATTTCCATATCTCTGACTGTAAATGCACTATCAGTAGCTGAAAATTATCATGTAAGAAGTTGCTTTTGCCATTTAATTCACAAGAAACACATGTGGGTAGGAAAGGTTTGAACAAAGCAACTAAGAAAGAGAGTAACTTGAAAAAGAAATTAACTCTAAGACTGTAGGCTTTTTCTTCTGTGGTTGGATGGTTTCAAGTATAAAAGGCATGAAAACCACTGAATTATACTTACATGACTTTCATAGATTATCATTTCCTGTTAGGACCTATGTGGATTCTTAGAATATGAAGTCCTAAAATAATACTGATAACCATTCAGATGATGACAGGAAATTATTCCCCCCACTCCTTTTATTTTATTTATTTATTTATTTTTTGATGAGGAAAATGAGACCAGGCAAAGTGAAGGGACTGCCCAGGCTTGCACAGTAAATGGAAAGCTGATATTTCAAGCCTGGTCTGACACCAAAGGACAAATCCTCTCTTCACTTTGTATCATGATGCACTGCCATGTGGGATGCCTTAATTTTTTTCATATCTATATAAGTCTTTACAAATATAAATTAGAATTTTACACGGAATGAAAATTCCTAACCATTATTTTCTTTTCACATTAATATTTCCATGATGAGTTAAGTCCCAAAGAGGTGACATTCTTAGTTCTACTAAATGAAATGGAGATTCAAATCTCCTTGAAAATACCAAATGTAGGACTCATTGATTCTGAGTTAAAGACATTAGCCAGATTAGCCCTGCAACCCCAACATAAACAATCATTTGAGGATGTGATTTTCAGTTGTCAGTATTTAATGGTACAAAAAAGTGACCTTTCTGAGCTGGGTCTCCAAATGCTGTGCTCAGTTATCTGCACTGCTGCCACTGTGCTGTAATTTTTAGCTGATTACACATTAGTTCATTTAGCTTTGTTTCCTCTTCCCTACTGTGCCATACTATTAAACGAAAGCGAGGGGCCTGGCATCCCTCTGTGCACAGAGCTGGTATTGTCACAGTGTAATAAGGATACATCCAGTCAAACAGCATGGTGTAGCTGGTCTTTGTGTTCAGTGTAAAGGCAATCCCTCGAAGATCTCTTGCCAGCCCGATCAACATACGCTGTCAGTGGGAAAGAGACACAGTAATTGATTTTCACGTTAGCGCAGAGCAGATGGAGTAATAATCAGGCAATAATGACCACATATCTGATTTTGATTCATTAGCTAAAATGTCTCGCTCAGTCCCTCTCTATAGAAAACCATAGACTTATAGACTCTTTAAACAAACAGACAACCAAATCTGCTGACCAACTCTATCTCATTTCTTATATACTGAGCTAAGTCATAATTCCAGTAGCTTAGGGACATTAGGCTCTTCACAGAGTTGCTTCTAAATAATGTCAAATTACAAAAAAAAAGATTAGGATTAATAATTTCACAAAATATAAACACATATGGCCTACATATTATTTAATAATAGCAAATTTTAATATTAGCTTGTATGAACCATACGATCTGGACTCTATCCTGGGAACAAACTGACACTTAAAAGATATCTAATGAATATCCTTCAGTGACTGTAGCAATGGGCTCAAGTATGTCAGAGATGAAGAGGAGGGTGCAGGCTAGGACAGGGTTCAGATTTATTGTACATAGGGTCACTATGAATCGTATTCAGTGGTACATAACAACAATTAATATCCTTAATAACTTAGGACAAAATAACAACCAAACTAAAAAATAAATTTAAACACATCCACCAACATTAACTGGTCTGGTGACCTACAGGCACTGTAACATACTCAGAATGACAGCAGCATTCTTCTAGCAAGGAAAAGATGTAGGAAAGAGAGTTTTATACTCATGTTAGAAGTCTTGAACTTGAGTCTAGCTTTTAACTTCCAGACTTAACGTAAAGCACTGTATCTCAGGTAAAGCATTTTAGGATTCTCATCTTAAAAAGGGGCTGCCAATGCCTCTTTCAAAAATTATTGTGCAGAATAATAAGTTTATGGAAAGGTGTCCAGCACAGGGCCTGACTACAACTACATAGGATGTGTTCCCTAAGTATTTACTTATAGAGTATCTTTTAGTAAGAGGGAAAACATTTGACTCTGAAGGGAATGCGAACTGATTTGCACCCTGGACTCTTAATTGAGCTGTCCTTAGAATGAAGTTTGGAAGAAAAAGGAAACCCATGAACAGATGCTAGAATGTCAATACAAAGAGCACAAACAAACATTAATTGTGAAAGAAGGGGTTGAGATAATTGAGATATGCTGTGATTTTTGAAGATAATGTTTCAGTGGAAACATTTTACTAGAAAATATTTACATATTGCATGTTGGCAGATTTTTTTCTATCCGCACATTTTGGTAATAAAGGAAAAAATTTCTTTAGGAAGGAGTTTACTATCATCATAACAGAGGAAGTGAGTTCTGTTCTCATCTTAACAGTTGAATAACATTTCAAAGTAGCATGTAGTAGTTTATCTAACTGTCAAAGGACTTGGAATTTATATTCTTCTAAAAAGAGGCTCAAAAGAACTAGATGTTGTCTGTTTAAGTATTATGCCTGTACACAGTCTGTTGAATAATGACTATCTGATTTTTTAAAAATGAAACTGGAATTCCTGTTTCTGCTTCATCAAATGACTTGCTTTTTATTTTCTCATAATTTTTTTTTTTTTTAAAATAATTGGCTGGCTGCCTTGCAGTTCTCTCATGTGACTTGCCTTTTTCTGAAAAACCATTTTGTCATTTATGTTACCTGTTTCTACATACAAAACCTGTTCCAATCATCAGAACAAAATACATCTTTTAATAAGCTTAATAATAATTATGAAGCTTTAAAAATATTTTCATTCCAACAATTCTATTCTGACTACTTACTACTGCAATCTTTGTATTAAAGTAGCTTTTTTGGGTTCCATTTTTAGTATATACATTTATAGGCTAGTCTTAAAAGGATCTTCAACTTTCACAAATACCTAAGTTACCTACACCGTAAAGGAATCAACAAGAACCATGAGTTTTACTTTATTTATGGCTAGTACTAAAGGTTCTTAATAAAATAGTATTTTAGATTATCTCATTGACAAAAAAAGGATAATTTTTATTTTATTACAATTTTTTCCTGCTTAAAAGATGTCAAATTAATAGAAATGCTTCAGTAGAGTTGACAGGGAATCTACAGGATTTTTAATTCAGTCAAATGTGGCTAGAAAAATTATACTAAATTTCTATTTTAGAAAATGTTACTGGAGAGCAGGGGAAGTATATATATATATACTCACACAATTAATTACTAAATGCATATGCTAAACAGACTCAAGAGAGCAGGAAAATAAAGTGTTCATGTAAGTAAGAAACAGATTTCTTATGTCCACATAATGCTTTTATCTCAAAGCAGAAGACAGTACTCTCCAGACATATAAACAACACTAAGGGAACATGTTTTCCGTAGTCAAAATATGCCGAGTTCTAATTGGTAATTAGGAGCTCAACCAAGTGACTACATTTTCTGAAACAGAGAGAGGTGTAGGGGGGTATATGTGTTCTAACTGAAATTTAGGAAGGGAAGAGCTACAATTTACCACCTCATTTAAAACACAGCCAGGCCCAAGTCCACTGCTGTCAAGTAGATTCTAACTCAGGGGAAGACCTGCTCCATAGGACCTCTAAGCTCTGAAACTTTACAGAAGCAGACAGTCACACCATTCTCTCACAGAGTGGCTGGCGAATTTGAACCGCTGATCTTTCAGTTAGCAGTCAAGTGCTTTAACCATGGTGTTACCAGTACTTGTCTAAAATAGTACAAAGATGTCCATTTCAAAAGTTGTCTCTCTCTCCCTTTCTGTACTATAGATAGTCAACACTTGATCGATTTAAAAAGTGAAAGGCACCTGTATTTTTAGCAAAGCCATTTTTGGGGAGTGGGGTAAGTTTGAGATGGATACATAATCCTAAGGATTCCTGTTTGGTTATTTCAAGGAGAACTGCTGAGGGCTCTAGAGCGCCGTACGGGTGAACAGTTGTCTGTGTGCCAAGTGTGAGACTGATGGGCTGGGAAACAGCTGAAACGCGGCTCCTTCCACCCTGACCCCCAAAACAGGGTTTCTAATGGAAAGTCTGACAGACCCTTTACTGTAGTGGCACTACTGGGGGCAGCTATAATATTATCCTCATAATTCTACTATATAATAACAACAAAGAAAAAGAAGGTGAAGGGTCATTGTGCTTTGTCTTTAGAATTAAGATGGCTGTCTTCATCCTTACAGCATACTCTTAATTCTGGAGACACATCTTAATAACCTCTAAATAGTTCCAACAAAAGAGCCGTGTCAGAGGAATGAGCAGGCCCCAAGGTGTTTCAACTGGAGTGTTTTCATCTGCCTTTATTGCTCTATCCCTCTCCAGAATTAAGGCAATAACCTGTGATAAATTATTCAGGAACTGCTACAGGGATCAAAGCAAAATCATTCTGTTAAAGTGCTGTTTGCAACATTTGGCACTTAGTGCGAAAACTTTTAATGTGCGCATGCTGAAAATCAAGGATTTTAAATAATTTAACATTGTGGAGTTTTTACGAAGGGACTAAAGATAGTAGGTTCCTATTTAACTGCTCCTCTTCCTCCAAGAAGTTTTCATTCATTTTCCTTAAAACCAGTGATATCAGAGCCAAATCACAAATGATGTATGAGTCAGGAGAGTATTGAACTATTTTTCACTACGGTTGCAATTTTAGGGGGGAGAAAATCCTGTATTCTGAAATAATGCTCTGGAGCCAGGAATTGTCACAGTATTTCCGTTCTTTAGCTCTTTACTTTGAAGAGAAAAACCCAAGACAAAAATTCAATGTTCTCTTCAATTTTATTAGGACTAAGTAAAAAACCAAAGCTATAAATTTTAGAGTTTTGTAGTATTCCCTTACTTCACAACCATATTTCAATTTGGCAACATGGGTCCTTAATGTTTATGTTCATCCTGAAATCTGCATCTGAACAATATCTATAAATAGGAGTTAGAAAATCCTGGTAAGGGTTGCAAATTAAATGAATTTGGCAGTCCTGCGGCATTTTCATAGAGATATTTTAACAGCATCACCTCCTGTGGATTGGAATACTAAATACTTTATTGAAGAACAAAACAGAACTGTTTTTATCTCTAGTACTTGCAAAATGAAGTACCTAAAAGCACTTTTGCATGTATTATTTATTCATCATGATAGAAAAATAGCCTTAACCTAATAAATTACATTTAAAAGCATTTAGTGCAAAAGTTTTGTTTATGATAAAGCAACAGATTTAGTTCTTTATCTGTAGCTTAAAGCACCAAGTTTTCTTTATACAAATTAGACAGATGGTGCTTACAGTAGAATTTACTAAAGGTCTGTCACAACAAATGCAGCCAAGCTGCATATTTAATCACTGCAGAATCTTGTCTACCTGCAGCTGCCAACTGCTAATCCAATTTCCCTGATAAATGTGGCAAGAGACACGATCAGCAATAAAGAGCATCTAACTCCATTTTCCTGCAGGGCGTCTTTTGATGAACATTTAGGACGGAAGCACGGAGTGCACTGTGTGGCCTTGGTTCGTGGCAGCTGCATGCATTCTGAGGCACAGTTCTCAGGTTACTCACTTAATTCTGCCACTATCATTACGTTGCTATTGATCTCAGTAGCTGTTGCCTACACAGCATTACTCTAGATGAAGCTGAATCAGGCAGTTATCATGCATCAAACTTGCTCAAAAGCCTGGAGATTTCCCCTTAATTACTTGTGATTTTATTTGCAAATACCGTTAAAGTGTAATCAAGCAGTCACTTTCCAGGGTCGTTAAGAACTTGCTGGTTTAGGGATATATCACTGGAACTCCATTAAAAATGACTCTAGGAAGATGGTTTCTATCAAACTAGATGGGATTGCATCAAAACAGGCTTGGAGCATAATGAAATCTTCAAATGAGACAAACATAATTTTTATAAAGATGGTGCTTTTCGGCCTCAGTGTTTCTTTTTTGTAAAGGGCAGACCGGCAAAAACTTTGTTACTAAAATATTCAAGGAAATTTAAAAAACACAGCAACTTGAGTGACAACTGGTGAAGAAATTCAGCAAGAATATAAACTCCAAGAACATCTGTGAAGTCCATTTTTGATTTTTGAAATGCTGTGACTGTGTTACACTGATAAACTCAATTTTACTTAAGACCTATAGCATTTAGCAAATTATTTTTAGCCAGAAGAGTTAACACTGAAATAAGCATCAAAGGTCACCCATTGTTTGTTTAGTTTTACTATGAAATTTCTTTTCTGAAGAGATGAACCAGATCAAATGATAGCTAATATTCCTAACATATATAAAAATAACAATAAAATAGGACAAAAGCATCATCAACAAAGGTGTCTGCATTCTCCAGAGTGCATTTCTTAGTCTTTTAAAAATAGTAACAGGTATCAATCTACTTAACATAGCCCCAGTACATTATAATTCAGAAAACGCTACTTCTATTTACCTAATCTCTATGATTCCCACCCCCCCAACTTAAAATATGGGGCTGTTTTGTCACAAACAGCTTGCTACACTTAAGGATTTTACTAATAAAACATAATGTTGTCTTAGATATTATGACTGTTGCCACAGCTGAACTGACTTGTCAAATCAATCCTAATATGGCTCCCACAGGCACATAAAAACCTTATTTAGCTATCAGTTATCCTAATCACTTCGTTCGGTTTAAGGATGCAATACTTCAAGACCAGCTCCTATTTATACGTATATGCCTAGCCATTTAATAAAGTCTTGATTTATATAAATTCTTGTTTAAAAATATTTAGAGATGTACCGTTTTAGCATATCTATGTTTGTGCATTTCTCCACATAAATATATTGAAACATTCAATGTACTGTGGATGAGGGAATCCCCTAGAAATTAAACCCGCTGCTATCAAGTCAGTTCAGATAAGGGAATAGGGCTGACTGTCATCAGAGACAAAGATACTAACTGTTCCAGCTAATCACGAACCGAGTGGCTGAAATAATCTGCTGAACTCAAAGTTAGTTCTGCATGAGAAATAGGAAAGCGTGTATGAAAAATAAAACACAAAGACACATGCAATTGGGAAAGTGGGACCGACGAAGCAGGAAATACACGTGGATATACAAAATGCTTTCCTGGATCTAGTTATTCTATAGAGAACAAAATTTGTCTCTTCTTATGTTCAGAAACGAACCCACCTTTACATCTTCCTGTTTGAAGTTGTTATTGAATATCTGCAATACTGTTTCAAAAGAGACTGTAAGAGGCAGCATGAAATTCTCGAATTCATCCTCATCTTCACCTATCAGAGACACAAAAGGGTACCATGGTTTAAAATGCAAGCTATTGTACATTAGCTTCAAGCAGTGAATGCTTCACTCCGGCTTAGAAATGTTCCTGAGAGGGGTCCACCCTGCATTCAAACCCATGCCACATTCTGTGTTTTGGCTCATTGAGTATTCTGGTGTTTTGCCTTCACTTTTGCACTAAATGAAATAGGAAAATTACTTACCAGCCATTTCCCCCCTGGCTTTTTATTGGATCAACCAGACGCGTGCCCCGGGCATCACACAGCCCTTCAGCTCTTTTGGCCTCCAGAGCCTTCTTAATGCCTCTAGGAAGGCCACTTTCAAAACATCAGAGACAGGGGCCCTTTTCTCCCCCTTCTCCTTGGGTGCCAAGGCCCTAGAGGGCTCTCAGACTCAGGTGCTTAGATAGCACTGAGTTATTGTTCTCTTTTATTTATGTTCCTTTTTATTTATTTGTTAAATGGATGGAAGGGAAACTTTTCTTTATCTGCCAAATATAATGAAGCCCCCTCATGGGTCATTTGGATTTTAAGTATATATTCTCCATGGGAACATTTTCTCCTGCACTAAGCTTCCTTTTCTTTATAGAAAAGGGGGAAACACAGAGACATTTTCCATTAACCTTTTCATTTTAAAGGTGATCTGTAAGTTTTAAGAATTCTGTCAAAGCAGAATCTTCACTTGGTACGTGGATATGCACAACTGACAAGTTTTAGGATATTCTTTTCCAAAGGGGTACTTAGTAAATGACAGATTTTTTTTTTTTTAGTGTGTGTAACGTCAAATTGGATCTGACTGGTACAGGAGGCGATTGTTCCTCCTTCTTCAGCAGAGCATCTGGTGGATTTGAACCGCGCACCTCTGGGATTGCAGTGAGTAAATGACAGATTTTATTCTCTTGTTCACACTGTGCCACAGGGAGCCCCACTTTAGTGAAGAAAAGTGGCTCACTAGCTCAATGCCATCAAGGTGAAACTGACTCATAGCTGATCCGTCAGTAGGTTTTTGGAGGCTGTTAGAAAGCATATGAGAAGACGGCCCCTCTTTCTCTCTTTCTTGAAAACAATGTATTTGAATTTTGTAATTAAACTAGTAGAAAAAAAATTTTTTTAAAAAGTGTATGAAAAAAATTATACTAGTTTATTTACAAAATTCAAATACATTGTTTTCCAGAACAGATTCTTTCAATTTTTCTTATTTGGAGTTGCTGGTGGGTTCAAACCATCAGAGGGACACCCATCATCTTTGAGTAAGTGGTGTAACCACCACCAATGAACTATGTCACCACAGCTCCAACGGACAGACAGGAAAAGGCTCAATGACTTCTCAAGGTGCCACACTTAGTTGGAAGCAGTGCTACATGGCCCATATCACTAGATTTCCAAGTTATTTGGGTTTTTAATCGAGTATTAAATAAGAAATGAGATAGTTTTCAAATCCTGATCCTCAAACATTAGTAATACCTGAGAACTCGTTAAATGCAAATTCTCGAGTTCCACCCAGAATGAGCGGATCTCTGGTTACCTAGTCCACCAAGAGCTATGCTGCTAAGCCTAAAAGGCTGCACTTTCGTGGCTGGTTTGAATTCACTAAAAACTCCATTGTGAAAGAAAAAGATGGGCAATCTTCTCCAGTGCTACTTATAGCTCTGGAAACCCAAAGATCAGTTATGAGTTGGTTCTAACTCAATAGCAATGGTTTTGAGCTTCTTAAGGTTTCACCAGATTTTCTGAACACAGAAATTCTGGGAAGGCCTAGCAATCCTTATTTCATTATTACAAATTCTCAACATCAAGGAAATAAAGATTCTCACCACTGGGCCGATTGGCAGCAACATGATAGATGGTGAAGAGACTGAGATTGTTCACAGCTTTACTTTGCTTGGCTCTACAATCAACACTCTTGCTACCAGCAGCTGGGAAATCAAAAGATGAATTGCACTGGCAAAGTCTGCTGTCAGAGACTTCTCCAAAGCACTGAAGAACAACAATGTCAATCTGGAGACTAAGATGTGCCTGATTCAGGCCATTGTCTTTGTAATTACTTGCTGTGCTTCAGAAAGCTGGACAGTGACTAGGGATGATAGAAGGAGAATTGATGCCTTTGAGCTGTGGTGCTGAAGAAGAGTATTGAATATACTATGGACTGATGGGAGAACAAACAGGCATGTCCTAGAGAGGGTGAAACCAGGGTGCTCCTTGGAGGCAAGGATTCTGAAGCTTCGTCTGACATACTTTGGACATGTAAGGAGGGACTAGTGCTTGGAGAGGGATGTCATACTTGGGAGGGTGAAAGGACAGCGCAGGAGAGGAAGACACTTGATGAGATGGATTGACTCAGCGACTGGGGTAATGGGGGTAGGTGTGTCAGAAACAATAAGGGTGGCACAGGATAGAACAGGGTTTAGAGCTATTGTATATAGGGTCACTATGAGTTGCAAGCAAAAACAACAACTAGGTGATTCAGATGCATGGAAAAGTTTGAGAAACACTGATCATGTTACAGATAATGAAACAGAAGCCCAAGGCTCTAAACACTGAAGAATCAGAGAGATATGCCTCCTAAGAAGTAGCTGATCTAGACACTCTGATCTTAAGTGTCTTCTCTCTCCCATCAACCTCAAACTCTGTTTTAGGAATCCAGACCTAGTTTTGTTCACAAAGAGAAGTCAAAGGTTAAGGTCAATGAATCTTTTACAGTATGCTACCCTCAACAAGAGAGCACTGGTGGCCTAGTGGCAAAAAGCTGCACTGGAATCCCAAAGGTATGTGGTTTGAATCCACCAGCTGCTCTGTGGGAAAAGGACAGGCAATCTCCTTCAGTGTGATTAATTGCCTCTGAAAACCCACAGGAGGGTCAGCTATAGATTGGTTCTGAGTTGATGGTAAACAACAACAACAACAACAACAACAAACAACCACCACCCTCAACAAGAGCTTACCCTTGTTTAGGTGAACGGAACAACAAACCAAATTATAATCATTATCTTGTCAACTGGTCACGGGGGTCAGTTATTTCTTTTGGATATACCTTTTCCAACTAGTGATGATACAGAAACCATTACTATATTTCAAAGATGAGCTCTAGCAGCCTAGTCCTTAGGGAACTGTGCTGCTAACCCAAAGGTGGTGCCTCACTGGAGGTTCAAATACACCAACAGCCCTGTGGGACAACGATAGACAACCTCCTCCTCTGTGATTTACAGCGTTCAAAGTCCCACCAGAAGGTCAACCACGTGTGGGTTCCAGATCACCAGCAATGAATCTTTCAAAGTCAGGTCAATTGATTGCTTTCCCAATACGAGTTAAATTTTCAATATCTGAGTTAAATTCTCAGTCCCACTGTAAGTAATGAGTCTTCTCCCTTTTGGTTTCCACAGTGTTTTGCCCTACAATTTCATAGAGAGAGCAACTGCAAGAATTACTATTTATTTCCTGAAACAGTAATTTTGCTCTTTAATGGAAAAGAGAAGGTGAGACACCAGAAAATTCATTCTAATTTATCTGTCTTGAACTTAGGCATGCATATACTAATAACACTACCACCTAAATTGTGCTATCACTACATAGTGGCATCATTTGATAAGGGTTATTGTGAGAACAAATTTTTAATATATGTGTGTAAATCACTAACAGAATGGCAAAGCAGTGAACACAATGGCGGAATACATTTGCAATATATGTTGTTGTTCAGTGTCATCAAGTCAGAATGGATGCACAGCTGACCCTGCAGCAGGTTTTCAGAGGCTGTGTGTCACATGGGCAGAGACTGCCATCTATCTCTGGCAAAGCAGCTCGTGGATTTGAACTGTCTGCCTTTGAGAAGGAAGCACAATTCTTTACTACTATGCCACCAGAGGGAGCTATTGTTTTGCTTTCTTATGAGCGTTGGCGTTAACTACACCTCTTAGTGACCCTATGACCGATGTACAGTGGCTCTGAACTTTACCCTAATCTGAGTGAACTTCACTATCTCTGACACATCTGACAGCACTGCTACAGTTACTGTGCCAATCCATTTTGTTGAGGGTCTTCTTTTCTTATGCTGACCTCTTTACCTTTCCAAGCATGATGTCCTCCAATGACCAGTCCTTTCTGAAAACATGCTCAAAGTATGTGAGATAAAGTTTCACTATGTCAGTCTTGCCTTTAAGGGGCACCTCAGTTGCACTTCCTCCATTACAGAGCTGTTCTCTTGGCAGTCCATGGGTATTCAACACTTTTGTCTAGTACCACAGCTCAAAATATATTGATAATTCTGTCATTCTTATTCATTGTCCAGCTTTCAGACACACAGCAAGCAAATGAAAAGAACATGGTGTGCTCAGGTCCACATTAGTCTTTAAAGAGACTGACATGGTTGCTCTTTAGCACTTGACAGAAGATTTTCCCAATGAAGTTCGTCTTTTGAGTTCCTGAATGTGGAAGTTAAGGGACCTGATTATGGATCCAAGTCTTATACTCTTGAAAACCCCCTGGAGGGTAATATTACTGTCTCTGAAAACCGGCTGGAGGGTCAGCTATGTGTTGGTTCCAAGTCAATGGTACTAACAACAACAACAACAACAACAACAACAACAACAACAACCATGCATATAAATTGTTCTTTCAGCCAGCCTATATTGATACTATCTCTGGCTTTGCTTCTGGAGAGCCTAGACTGTATCTCTGTTTCTCAGTGAAGGAAGACATTAAAGGATTCTGCAGTCAAACAGACTACTGTCTGTGACCACTGCCTGTTGTTTAACTCTGGACATTATACACATTATTCTGAGTCTTAATTTCTTCATACGCAAAATAAAAGTGAAAATATCTAAGAGTATTGTGAAGGTTAAATGTTATTGTTGTTATGCGCCATTGAGTCACTTGTGACTCATAGCAACTCTATGTACAAGAGCTCTGAATCCTGCTCTATCTTGTGCCAATCTTACTGTCTCTGACACACCTACGCTCCCAGTCATGAGTCAATCCATCTCATCGAGGGTCTTCCTCTC